GTGTACTATCACATGATCGCAAACATGACAGGAGGCAGGAACATTGGAATACTTTGACAATACAGTGGTCAACTTGGGTCAAGGCATAATGGGACGTCCAGGGGGTGAATGAAGCTTTGTTACAGTAGTGACGTCGATTGATATTAACAGCTCACCGCAAGAGAATACAACAAAGCAATTAATTAAGACGGCACATCGATCACCGTTATCCATTAAAGAAAGACAAACACGAAACTCTATTAGTTTTGTCCCTGGCAAGATGACTACCGTATCGTCAAAGTAGTCCAGTGAATCTGGTCTAGTCTGGTTTACATCCAATGAGAAAGAATTCGGTTTCCCATGGAAAAGAATACTATTGTTATGCCTTGTGTTATGGCTACATCACGTGATGGTGCAAAGTTGGCATTGCAGTGCATTTTGGGGCTGTTTTAGGGGACGAAATAGACGTGAACTTCGACATATGTCATATGCCCTAAATCAGTTACACAATACGATTCCAATCCGACACAATTTTTTCCTGAACCTCTGAACGTCTAATTATTAAAATAATGAAAAAAATAGAAAACGCGAGCGCGTATTGTGTGTGGTTATAAAGCACGCGGGGATTGGCAGAACGCGAGAGAAGTGTTAGGAGAAGCACGACGCGTAGTGGAGTGCTTCTCGACTCTTCTCGACTGTTCTGCCGATCACCAAGTGCTTTATAACCACATAGCACAGCAAGMAAGTTTTTTATTTCTTTTATAAAAAGGGCGCGTGCGTGCTGTGTGCTCTTATAACTCACGCGCTCCCAACCAATCAGAATGCGAGATTTTTAATCATATTTATATTTTTGATTTTATATTAATTATTCTTATTCTGTCTTTCCACTTGATTCCTAAAGTCATAATATCCAGCATGACGTCTATGCTATAGTAAAATACCAAACTTCTGACAGTCCTAATTTATTTCTCCTCTGAAAAGCTCATAAACGTAACGACATCATTTTATCTTCAGAAAATCTATTAACATTTTTGAATTTGGTCGTGTGACTCACAAATATTTACGAAATTTCTTGAAGACATGGCGCAAGCCGGGTGAATCATACGGTCAGTTCTAGTCTATCAAACACTAAATATGCAAGCCTTCGTCTTATCTTAAAATAAATATAGTTTTTAATATAAATTTAAAAGCATGCGAGACAACACGAATCTACATATGACCTCGTTAATTGTCTGCGAGATTCATTTACTTACCTATTATTCCTGCCAGGAGTAACTTACACTCACAGGAAAATACTGCCAAAAAATATTGATCCAAAAATGCTAGGAAATAAAACTTGAAGRATATTGCGAATCGGGGTTATAGGAATTAATTTTGGAATATGCTACTGGTGGAAAGTCACGGTGTAACTGTTATCAATAAATTAGGAGGTGTGGCTATTTCCAAGAAATTTTGAGTATTAAGAAATTTCGTGGAAATGATACTCCGTCGTCTGTCACGCACTCATATAATCAAATAAAGGTAGAAAATTATCCACTTTCAGAAATTCTAAGCCAAACAACAATGAAGGACAATTGTTTTTCTATCAACATTTTGTAGAAATGTTATGAAATTTTACTATATTAACAAGAATGCCGGAGTTTTTTTCTGTCACCCACTCATCGATCGACTTTTCTAAGAAATGCTAACATGCTATAAAACACGCCAGCCGGTTTAAACGAAAGTGAAAGTAGAGAATAGTTATTATTATCAAAAGGAAGTATGTAAGAAAACCTCTGTATTTTGTATTTTTCCTCTGCTGGTATTAATAATAAAATCCATCCAGTTGTAGTGTAGGTAAAATGTGCATTTAGCGAACTGTGTTGACGATTGGACGAAGGCAAAATCAGACTATATAGTGTTTTAGCTAGTGTTGCTTGGTCTTCTTCGAACCATAGAGTGGCGAAAATTATACCAAATAAATGATTTTAGTTTAAAAATCAGAAATATATTAAACATTTTACTATAGTACTTGTTTTCGTAAGTAGTACGGAATTAGCTTAGTTGTTTTCATATATGAAATTTTAAATTCCTTAGCGAATGAATAGAAAATATTTCAGAGGAAAGGATTTACACTGACTGCAGTTTGTCAAATTCATACTTATAGGAAAAGCAAAATTGAAGCTTTTAATGTCTTTTGTATCCAAAGACGCAAAACAATTGGTGCAAATTAAAAAAATATGGGTATAAGATTTAAGGATCATTGGCGTGAAACAAGAAGAAATGTGATTAAGTCATCTCGTTTACCAAGAAGTGCTTTGTACTAACCTTGAAATCGATCAACCAACAACTTCAGAAAATGTCTCTTATTCCGAATTCACTTGAACTATGCGCTGTTAGAAAAGGTTTAGCTGTTAGAAAAGGTCTGAATTGTAATACCCATTAACTATACCCATGCAATATGTATTGTTGGGGAAATTTNTTAATTGTCTGCGAGATTCATTTACTTACCTATTATTCCTGCCAGGAGTAACTTACACTCACAGGAAAATACTGCCAAAAAATATTGATCCAAAAATGCTAGGAAATAAAACTTGAAGAATATTGCGAATCGGGGTTATAGGAATTAATTTTGGAATATGCTACTGGTGGAAAGTCACGGTGTAACTGTTATCAATAAATTAGGAGGTGTGGCTATTTCCAAGAAATTTTGAGTATTAAGAAATTTCGTGGAAATGATACTCCGTCGTCTGTCACGCACTCATATAATCAAATAAAGGTAGAAAATTATCCACTTTCAGAAATTCTAAGCCAAACAACAATGAAGGACAATTGTTTTTCTATCAACATTTTGTAGAAATGTTATGAAATTTTACTATATTAACAAGAATGCCGGAGTTTTTTTCTGTCACCCACTCATCGATCGACTTTTCTAAGAAATGCTAACATGCTATAAAACACGCCAGCCGGTTTAAACGAAAGTGAAAGTAGAGAATAGTTATTATTATCAAAAGGAAGTATGTAAGAAAACCTCTGTATTTTGTATTTTTCCTCTGCTGGTATTAATAATAAAATCCATCCAGTTGTAGTGTAGGTAAAATGTGCATTTAGCGAACTGTGTTGACGATTGGACGAAGGCAAAACCAGACTATATAGTGTTTAGGCTATTGTTGCTTGGTCTTCTTCGAACCATAGAGTGGCGAAAATTTATGAACAAAAATAAATGTTTCTAGTTAAAAAATCAGAAATATATTAAGCATTTTACTATAGTACTTGTTTTCGTAAGTAGTACGGAATTAGCTTAGTTGTTTTCATATATGAAATTTTAAATTCCTTAGCGAATGAATAGAAAATATTTCAGAGGAAAAGATTTACACTGACTGCAGTTTGTCAAATTCATATTTATAGGAAAAGCAGAACTGAAGCTTTTTATGTCTTTTGTATCCAAAGACGCAAAACAATTGGTGCAAATTAAAAAAATATGGGTATAAGATTTAAGGATCATTGGCGTGGAACAAGAAGAAATGTGATTAAGTCATCTCGTTTACCAAGAAGTGCTTTGTACTAACCTTGAAATCGATAAACCACAACTTCAGAAAATGTCTCTTATTCCGAATTCACTTGAACTATGCGCTGTTAGAAAAGGTTTAGCTGTTAGAAAAGTTCTGAATCATAATACCCATAACTATAACCATGCAATATATATTGTTGGGGAAATTTTTTAAGAATTTGATTTAGGGAAATTCCCTTTTGAATCCTTAGAAATTTTGAATATTTAAGATGTTGTTAGGAGTAACGCATTTTAAAGCGTCGCGTGACGACCTTGAAAAAATAAAAGATTTGGAGGATATGATCAGGATTTTCTGCTGAGGAAGATGGAAAAAGCTGGGGTCCCGAATCATATTCTGAATTCCTATTGAATGAGGTAATCACATCAAAAATATTAAAACTAGGTGATCTTTCCTTCTGATTCATCTAAGCAAAAGTAGGTTGTTAAGTGGGAGAAGAGGGTCATGGAGGGCTAAAATGGGAACTGTCATGTGGGCTTTACAATGGCGGATCCCGGATTTTTTTGAAGGGGGGGTCACAAGGGAAAATTTTGTAGGCAAAGGAATCCCGGTCGCTTTTTTTTTCACATAAAGCCCATTTGACCTCAGAAATGACATGAGGTCGCGAAAAATATGTTCCCGATTTCTAATTCTTATTTTGATTGGAAGTAAACACAGAACTCTGTTTGAAAGCAGGTTTGAAAGCATGATTTTCATTCATCATATTTCACTTCCGGAAAATTGCGCATGCGCCAAAGTATGGATTATGCCAGAGCCCTCGTTCTTCGCCGCAGGCCAAAAAGCAGRCTCTGGGCATGGGCTGTAGGAGAATATTTGGTTTGTGACGGGGAAAATGCTTGTTAGTAGACCAAATAAATCACTAATTACTTGGATCTTTCTGTTTATATTTTATTGATGGTTACGTGAGATTTCGATGAATAAACATGAATTCAATAGCCTTTTTACCTCCTTTTCCTTCGATAAAACTCGCGATCTTTGTCATTGCTGAGCCTACAATATTTTATTAGGAACTATAAAATAACTTATGAATGTCGCGTTCTGATTGGTTTGGAGCGCGTGCTTTAAGAGAGCACATTGCAAGCGCGCGCACTTTCCTTTGCGTCATTCCTATCTATTATTGTAATTTGTATTTTATAAAAGAAATAAACAACTTGCTTGCTGTGCTGTGCAGTCATAAAACACTTGGGGATTTGCAGAACACTCGAAAAGTGTCCAGAAACACTCCGCCACGCGTCGTGCTTCTCCTAACACTTGTCTCGTGTTCTGCCAACCCTGGCGTGCTTTATAACTGCACACAGCACGTGCGCGCGTTTTCTATTTCTTCAAGACCGCAGATACGTCATTAACCCAGGGAGCCCATTTTCTGTTGTAAAGAAAATACATGAGAAACTGGGCTCCCTGTGTTAATGACGTTTTTACGGTTTTTCATAATAAAATATAGCGGGCTCATTTAGAAAAACTAAGATGGCGGTTAGAATGAAGTGATGTGAAACGACCGTTTAATGCATGTTCATTCAAAGTAACAATCACTAACACGTGGATAGACAGACCCAAGTGAGTAATTAGTGATTTATTTGGTCTACTAACAAGCATTTTCCCCGTCACAAACCAAATATTCTCCTACAGCCCATGCTCTGGGTACGACGAGCAGATTTGTCTTTCTTGGCTTTTCGAGCACGAGGTGAGTTCATATGTTTATATTTCATTGTTTTCTTTTTTCTTTTGGGAGGTGAAAATTTCAAATGTCCAGAATAATTCTTAACATCCCCCTTTAAAGTCATGCAAAAAGATACGACCCCCCCAAACAGGCTAAAATCCTTCATCCCCCCCCTCCATTTTTCTGATAAAAACTTGCCCATCCCCCCTTTTTCCTACCAAAATTTTTACCTGCCC